GACCCCTTCCACCGGGAGTCCCTCTCACGACTGCAGCCTGGACGCACAGGCCGGAATGTCTCTGGGAGAGCGGCCCAGAGCGGAGGACGTGTGTGGGTTCCTGCTGGCACTTTTGTGAGTGAGTTCTCCTTCCCCAGCCACACAGGAGACCCCACAGCAGCCAGGGCAGGATGTGACGTGTGGAGTGGGAGGTTGGAGGGGTCCTTGCATTGGTCTCACTGAGCCAGGTTCTCAGATTCCAAATTCTGTGTCCTTGTCTCTGCTACCCATCGCCTGCCTCTGTCGTCACAGAGGGGCTGGCAGAGTGTTCAGTGCCCACAGCCAGCCTCATGGTGGGAGGGAACCCCCCGGCCCCGAGCTGGCCACTGCCCTTACTGACCGGGAGCCGGCTGGGAGCTGAGCCCCAAGTGGTCCTTTATAGAGGTTGTGCCCTCGCGGCAGCAGCGGGAGATACTCAGGAGCCATCAGGAAGTGAACACTGTGGCCCCAGGGACAGAGGCCACGCAAGGCAGACTGTGGTGCACGCCTGTGAGCGGCTGTTGCACACCTCTGCTGGCCAGGCACGCTGCTGGGACTGCAGGGGTCAGGATGGCTACAGTGAAGTCCCTGCCTCTCGGAAGGGACCTGTGCTGGACCACACGCTACCTCGGGGTCGCTCTGGGTACTGATGAAGGCCGGTGCGGCGCCAGGTCTGTGGGGAGTGCTCTGCACCATGGTTGGGTGGGTGTGTGCAGACTTCCACAGGGACCCGGGACACCAGCTCAGCGCTGCCTGGGGAGGCTGGGCAAGGCCTCACAGAAGAGGTGACCCTCGGTATGCCTGGGGGTGGGGGGCTCAGCTCCCTGCCACCAACCTGGCTTTCTTCTGAGTAAGTAGATCCTAAATTCTCACTGCCGCCCCTAGAGTGAGTGAGTGAGGTGACGGCCATGTTAATCAGCCTGGTTGTGGTGATCACTTCACAACGTATATGCATATGAAATCACTAAGTTGTATGCCTCAGATACAGAGACTATGAACGAGATAAAGCGTGATGGACTACCTGGCTTTTCCTGGCTGCAGGATAGGTAGCCAGAGGCCCCAGTGGAGCGGGCAGGAAGGGGGGCCCTGCCTCTTCAGCGTCTACTCTAGGCCTCCCCAACAGAACCAGGGCCTCGCCTCCCACTCTGTCTTCCCCCCATAGGAAGGCGAGATTCAAGCTGCCCTAGGCCCTGGTGGGCCCCTGGGGTGTAGCAGGCTGCCTGGGGTAGAGTCTCCGACTGCCCCACCCCCAGCTCGCATGTGCAGCTCCCTGTCCTCAGCTCCTGCTCTGATCACACCTGCTCCTGTCTCCGTGGTGGCATGGCCTCCCCAGCTACCTTGGGTGGTCTGCTCGCCTCACAGGGCGAAGCTCTAACATTTTCCTAAAATGCAGCCAGAAACACCCACTCCCCATGCCCAGCACTGCCCTGTCTTCTCCTCTTCCCTTCCCTCTCCCACTCGCCCGTCCCATCGTGGGTGTGTGCAGCTGAGAGGCCCCTCTAGTGTCCCAAAGGCTGCTGGGAGGGAGGCTTCAGAGCCACACTGGGGCCGTCCTCCCAAGCCCTTGTTCTTCTCTTGCGGGCCGTGTATGGAGTAAAAATGCACTTCAACCCGCAGCAGCGGGATCAGCGACGCCTGAACCTTCAGAGGGTGCTGCCTGTGCAACCACCCAGGTCGTCGGCCCCGGAAGTCAGCCTGGGGGGCACAGTAGTGTGTGGGTGTGTGCATGGTGTGCAGTGTGTATGTGGTATGTGGTGTGCTGTATATATATGGTGTATGCTGTGTGTATTGTGTATGGTGTATGATGTGTATGCATTGTGTGGTGTGTGTGCACTGTGTGTGGTATGTGGTGCATTGTGGTGTGTGTGTGTGTGTGAGTGTGCAGAGTGCCTGAGTGCGGGCATCAGGTGGCAAAGTCAGCTATAGGTCAGATGCCTGAGCAATCTAGCCTCCTCCCTGAGCCCCGAGAAGGACCCGAGACCTAGAGAAGGAACCAGGCTTGTCCAAGGTCACCCAGCCAAGTTTTTCCCATGTAAAGGGTGAGACTTGGTTGAAACTATTCATTTCTCTTAAAGGTTTCTGTTTTTATAGGTGGGTGCTTCAGGGACGTTTGTGATTTATTCAAGTTTTTTTTTTTTTTTAATTAGAAAGAGAGAGAGAGAGAGCGAGTGAGCAGGAGCGCACTCCTATCACCTGGATCACTCCTTAAATGCCCACGTTGGCTAGGGAGTAGGGATGAGGCAGGGAGCCGGGTATCAATCCAGGTTTCACACGCAGGTGGCAGGAACCCAGTGACGTGAGCCATCAGCACTTTCTCCCAGGGTTTGCATGAGCAGGAAGCTGGAGTCAGGATTCCAAGCTGGAACTGGAACTGAAACCGAGGTACTCCAGTGTGGGATGCAAGGGGCCTCCGGACCCGTGTCCCCACTGCTGGGCTCAAGGCCGGCTCCCGTGTGTGACACTGACAGTCCAACACTGCAGCCTCCACGTATGCCCCCACGTGTGACACATGCATGCCCAGCACCCCAAAAAGCAGGTCCCTCCAAGAGCCTAGGTATCCTAGTACACAGCTCCTGCTCCTCCTAAGCACAGGTTCATCAGCTGAGCATCACAGCCACACCACTGCCCTCTTAGTGCCCTGGGTCCAGGCATGGCCTGAATATCTGACCAGGGCTCTCTGGCTGCACACCAGCCTCCCAGGGCAGTCCTCCATGGGTAGGGGTCACTGACTTGGGGGACAGCCTCGGGTGGGGCTCCTGCGCTGGTTTCCTCTGGGCCGCTGCCAGGCGGGGCCTGCCCCATCCTGGGGCCTGGGGCACCAGCTGGGTAGGGCTCAGCTTGGAACCCTCACTTGGCCTCCCTTCTGCAGCTCCACCAGTTCCTCTTCCTACCCTGTTCCCTGGCACCAGCCTCGCCCCTTCTCCTTTGGTGGGAGCGCCAGGCCCGACAGGGCTCCCCTACCCCCCACGGAGCCCTGCAGCTAGACTGAGTGTTGTCTCGGGGCAGGATGTGGGGTCCAGACCTCCTCCTCCCCAGGGGAAACAATGGGGCCGCTGCTGGGGGTGGGGGTGGGGCACAGACACATCAGAGGCCCCTGCAGGGACAGCCGAGGCTGAGCCTGAGTCACACGCCAGGCTGCTCCTTGAGCTCCCTGGTTCCTGTCGGGACACATCCAGAAATGCATTGAGTAAATAGTGAGAGGTGCAGGATGAGCAGGGCCTGGGCCACCAGGGGAGGAATCCAGTGAGACCCGGGCTGTACAGGGGGGCTTTTGCCAATGCCCCTGCTTCCCTGGTAATGGCACCCTGAAGCCCCGCACCTTCCCCCATTAGCCGTCACCCGATGAAGCCTCTTGGTTCTGCTTCTCCCCAGCCTTGCCCTGGGGCCAGCAGCACCTTCTGTGTGCAAGCGGACAGCAGGAGCGAGCTGCAGACAGAGCCGCCCTGTGCAACGCGCTGCTCCCCACTCTGCCCGCCCCGAATGTCCTCCCTCCTGCGGGACGTGGAGCCGGAGCCCGGCTTTATCAGAGATAAAACCTTTGAGACTAAACAGTCTTTTTATAGCTGGGTACTTGCTCCCTAGCACATGTTCCATCCTCCCTGCCATCAGCCCTTCCGGGCACACTCAGAAAGCCCACGAGTTTCTCCAGGGGACAGGGAGGCACTGAGCCATGCGGACACCCGCACACATTCCTAGGGCGGGGAGGCCTGGTGGTGCCCAGCCAGGCGGTGGTCTGATCTGGGCCACCTCTGCAGTCCCTGGGGCAGGGCCAAGCAGAGGCGAGAAGCAGCTGGAAATAGGATGAGACCCAAATGTGGCAGACACACATGTGCGATCCCAGACATGCTGCTCACCCAGCACCGGAGAGAGAACGCTAAGGCAGGCACCACCCACAATCCAATCTCCCCAGCAACCCCCGGCCAAGGGGCTGGGATGGTGCCCAGAGCACACTGAGTGAGACGGGGAAGGCAGAAAGCAAATATTTATTGCGTATGTACTACTTATTAGGCAGTCGGTAAACATTAGCTCACTTAATCCCTGCAAGGTCCCTGCGAGGACTTATTCATCCTGTTTTTATGGTTGAGGATGAGCCCAGGGCCTCGTAGGTGACTGTGGACAAGGGATCTGACCTCGGGCCCTGTCTTCAGAGCGCAATGCTCCTTCTTCTTCTCCTTGGATGTGAAATGGGGAGAACGAGGGGACCTGGCTTGTGGCTGCTGTGAGGACTACATGGGATGATCCGGCTGAAGCGGAGGCCGCCTCTGGCACACGGAACACGTCAGGGTAGTTACCGGGAACCTTGTGTGCACGGGACGTCTCAGAGGACAGCCACGTGGAAGCCACCTGCGGGGTCCCTAAAATCATCCTGGAGGCTTAGAATGTTCTAGACTGAATCCATGGAGCCGTCAGGATCCTCACGTCAGGAGTGCAGGCATCTGCGTGATGTTCCAAGAGCCCACGTGAGACCAAGGCAGGAAGCAGACAGGAAGGAGCCGGCAGAGAAACCCCGACTGCAGGGCTGAATTAAGGATGCCCCTGTCGGGGCCCCGCGTTGATCACAGCGGTGTGTGAGCCTGCTCCATGTGTTGGGATGGCCGTGGGCTCTGGGCCTCGGCGTCCCTGTTGGTGAAAAGTAGATGAGCTGTATTTGCGTTATGAGCCCTGCCTTCCGGGCCTGAAATGCTCTGAGTTTTTCCTCTGGTTTCTCCCTTTCCACCCCTCCCAGGGAGTCCCGCAGAGGACTGGGGACGGTGTGGCAGAGGGGACATGGGAGACTTCAGAGTGCCCCAGGGGGCCTCACCTGGCCCAGTCCTCATTCACAATCAGCTGCCTTGCCAGACTGGCTTTGGAGTGAGGATGGCCTGGGTGTGGGGTGGGGTCTGGCAGGTGCCTCGGGGTCCCCTTTGGGGGCTACAGCTGGACAGTGCAGGGGGGCTCGGAGGGCAGCTCACAGCCCCCTTGTCTGTTGTCTGTCCCCACAGAGACCTCAGTATGAACAACCTCACGGAGCTGCAGCCTGGCCTCTTCCACCACCTGCGCTTCTTGGAGGAGCTGTGAGTAGACGCCTGGCGGGCGGGGCGGGGGAGGCTGGGGTTCCTTGGGGTGGGGTGGACTTGGGCGGGGGGAGCAGTCATCTGTCGGACGTGTGACTCCCAGGGTGGCCACCTCGGGACCACGTGGTGCAGGACGTCCAACATCTCGCTCTCATTCCACCCTGGACCAATGACCCAGCTTTGCCTCTTAAAGCCAACCACTGTACCTTTTCCAGGGAGGCATCTTCTAAAAACATTAAAAAAAATTTTTTTTTCCAAATTTCTTCATTTGAGAGAGAGACAGACAGAGAATGCTTGCCCCTGCTGCTTCACTCCCCAAATACTGAAAAGCAAGGAGCTCAATTCAGGTCTCTATGTGGGTGGCAGGAACCCCTCACGTCATCACTGCTGCCTCCCAGGGTCTGTGTTAGGAAGGTGGAGTCGGGAGCCAGGGCTGGGTACTGACCCAGCCACTCCCACATGGGGTGCACCTGCTCCAGCGGGGAGTCATCGTGGGGCTGTCCTCAGTCCCTGTCCAGCAGCGGCCACGCCCAAGCCAGGTGGCTCTTCTCTGAGATGTCTCCACCTCCCCACAGTGTCTGTCCCACTGCCACTGCCCTCGACATCCGCTGCCCGTGGGGACAGGGCCTCCTACTCCATTCTAGTGCCCCCTGCACGTCTTCCCAGGGGGCATCTGCCAGCTGAAGAGGCTTCTGTGGCTCCACACTGCCCAAAGAAGCCACTGCCCTTAGGAAGCCCGCTTCCTCCACCATGTGCCCCCTGGGTGAGGCCTCCTGGTAGTGGTCACGCTGCAGCTGGAATACCTCAGGGCAGCCTCCCGCCCCAGGGTGCTCACGGGTAAGCCAGTTCCTGTGTCAGAGCACCTGCCCATGTGCTCTGCGAGGCCAGCTCCCTCCGTTCCAGCCCTCGTTTTCCTCTGGTTCTGTTCCTGACACCTCCCGGCCCTGCCTAGCCTGACTTTCACACCACCGCAGCCCCTTGGGCCTCCACACTGCGTTGCTGGCCCTGCGCACACTCTGGGCGCTTGGCCCGAACTGCCCTCCTTCGCCTCGGTGACCCTGACCTTGACCTGTCCCCTCCCCTGGCATGGGGGGGGGGGCTCATTCTGTCCACCCGCTGCCCTGGCCATGGCTGGGTGCTCTAGATCACGGGGATCAGGCCTCTCACCGGGCAAGCCCAGCTCCAGGTGCTCTGAAGGAAAGACCTGCCCGCGCTCTCCAAGAGCAGGCCCGAGAGGGTCAAGAGCAGCCGTGGGTGCGGGCACCTGGGGCCTTCTGTGGCAGGGGGAGGGCCGGGGACTGACAGGTCGATGCTAACTCCCAAGAGGGGCTGCCCCATCTAAGGACCCTGCAGGGCAAACCAGCCCCAGAGACCTCAACTGCCAAGCACCCTGGCACACGGCTTTCTCTTTGTCAGCAACAAACGTCAAGCAAATAGACATTTTTAGGGGCGCAGATGTGGTGACAGCGTCTGAGAGGCTGCTACTGGGTCCACGTCCGTAGGGCTCTCGGCAGGTGTCAGGGTGTGTGGTGGAGCCCTATGGGACGTGCCGAACCGGAAGTGTCTACTGAGGCGGCCGGAAGTTTCTTTCGGGACGGCCGGAAGTGTTTTCTGAGGCGGCCGGAAGTGTCCTCTGGGACAGCCGGAAGTATCTTGAGTGGCCGGAAGTGCCTTGAGGCGGCCGGAAGTGTCTGCTGAATTGTGCTGGGCTGGACTCTGCTCGTTCGGGTTCCGGCGTTCAGCCCATGTTAAGTGTCTCCCGTGGGCTCCCTTTGGAATTGGTGATCGCCCGGTGACGAACATGGAGACGCTGAAACAGACCAGAGCGTGAGGCTCGCTCCTGCGCGGCGCCATGGGGGTGACGCGGCGGCACCCAGGACCTCGCTTTCTGCTGGTGACAGCAGCAGGTGCGGGTGCAGGCTGGCCCAGGAGACGGCGGCCCGGGGGCAGCTCAGGCTGTGGAGCACGCCTGCTCTGCCCCTGGCTCGCCCTGTGACCCGGAGCGGAAGCGGCCTTTGCCCAGCCTCAGCTTCCTCGTCTGGCGTTTGGAGGTAGTACAGGCGGAGCATCCCTACCCAGAAACCCTGCCATCCGGAACACCCCAACCCGAAACTTGCCAAGCTAGAGTGGAAAATGCTACACAAGACCTCACGTGATGGTTGCAGGTGCTCTAAAAATATTGTATAGGGGCCAGCGCCATGGTGCAGTGGGTTAACGCCCTGGCCTGCAGTGCTGGCATCCCATATGGACGCCGGTTTGAGACGCGACTGCTCCACTTCCGATTCAGCTCTCTGCTGTGGCCTGGGAAAGCAGTGGAAGATGGCCCCAGTCCTTGAGCCCCTGCACCCAAGTGGGAGACCCAGAGGAAGCTCCTGGCTCCTGGCTTCGGGCCATTGCAGCCATTTGGGAAGTGAGCCAGCAAATAGAAGACCTCTCTTTCTCTCTCTCTCTCTTTCTCTCTCTGGCTCTACCTCTCTCTGTAACTCTGTCTTTCAAATAAATAAATCTAAAAAAAAAAAATTTACTTGAAAGGCAGAGTTACATAGAGAGAGGAGAGGCAGAGAGAGAGAAAGAGAGAGAGAGAGAGAGGTCTTCCATCCGCTGGTTCACTCCCCAATTGGCTGCAATGGCCAGAGCTGTGCTGATCCAAAGCCAGAAGCCAGGAGCTTCTTCCAGCTCTCCCAGGCGGGTGCAGGGGCCCAAGGACTTGGGCCATCTTCCACTGCTTTCCCAGGCCATAGCAGAGAGCTGGATTGAAATTGAAGCAGCAGGGACTTGAACCGGCGTCCCTATGGGATGCTGGCACTGCAGGAGGATGCTTACCCTAGGGCACAGCGCCGGCCCCATCTGAAACACTCTGACCTGCAGCATTTCAGGCCAGGGCCACTGCGCCTGTCACAGGCACCTTGGAGGGTGCCGTGGGGGTGAGCACAGGTGTGCAAGGGATTGAGCACACTGCAGACCCCTCCAGGGTCCCACCTGGACCACCTGCCCACGCCTCTGACCCTGGTCTCTGATTTGCAGGCGTCTGTCTGGGAACCACCTCTCCCACATCCCGGGACAAGCCTTCTCTGGGCTCTGCAGCCTGAAGATCCTGTAAGTATGGCGTCCACCTGCTTTCCGGGGCCACATCGAGAGCCGTGCCCCGAGTCCTGACTCGCCGCTAACCGGTGCTGCGCCCCTGACCTCCGCTGTGCCTGTTTCTTTGCTTGCATCTGGTGCGTAATGTGCCTCGTCTATCCAGCAACCCCACAGGGCAAGTGAAGTGAGCAACGACCAGCAGCAGCCAGCTTTGTAGGGCTGGGCTCAGGCCCAGGTGCTCTGCCTGACAGCTTGAGGGGCCAGGAGAGGGGTCCGCTGTTTCAGGAAGGAGGCGTCGGGGGGGGGGGGCTTTGGCTTTCTTCTTGAGACCCTGTCTTGGCGTTGGCAGCCACAGCGCCAGATTTGCATCCTCACTGGAAATGGCTGCCCCCCGCCCATCTCCATGCTGCGGCCAAAGGGAGAGGAGGGTTGGACAGGACCTTGTGCCCTTTCACCTCCCTTCGCTTTGCTGTTGAACTAAGGGCCCATTGTAGAGAAGGGAAGGTAGAGGCACCATCTCATCCCATCCCAATCCGCCTCTCTCATTAGCACTGTGCTTCCAGTGCCCCTTCGTGTTCTTAGGATGAGTGAGAGTGAAGGTGTCTGGCAGTGGATGCTGCAGTCTGAAGGCAGGTGGGAGAGAAAGTGATCCTGTGAAAATGGAATGAGGATTTGGGGGCTTCCCTAAAGGGGCGAACCATTCCCCAGTTCTGCCATTCCCTCAAGCCCTGACTAGACTGGCAAGTCATCTTTGTACAGTTGAGCAGGTTGTTGACTGTACAAGAGCATCTGGCCGAGGGGATGAGAAGGGGCTGAAGCCCAGGTCTGTGTCCTGGCATGGGGCCACGTCCACCTAGAAGGGATGCCTTTTCCTCATTTTCTCAGAGTTGCTTGTGGACTCGCGCTGACCTCACCCCTTTCTAGCTGCTCAGCCATCCGCATGTAAGCGCTGGCTCCTTTCACCCCAGCATTGGTCATGGGCACCTCGCTTTCCCTCTGCCGCCTTGCGGGGCCCTCTGCTCCCTCTCTGGCCCTCACTCTGTCCCTCCTGCCTCTGGCCCAGTCCCAGTGTCCTGGCCTCGCCCCCTCCTCCCTGTGTGCCCCTCTCTCTGCCCCGGGGGCAGGGAAGGATTGGAGGCAGACGCGGTGCCGGCGGCCGGCGTGGCGGCGTGTCTGTGCCCAGTGGCAGGCTGAGACCTGCAGCCGGATCAGAGCGCGGGGCCCGCTGGCTGGGCCCTCGGAAGATGTGAGGCTCGCGGCCCGCTCCTAAGTCTCCGGCTTAGAGCTGAGCCTCTCCTTTCTTCTTCGCCTGCGTTAGGCAAGAAATCAAAGCCTCAGAGAAACCGCAGGCCTCCCCCCACCTTTGTGCGATGAGGAGGGCAGCCAGGAGAGGCTGCCGGGGACGGGGGAGCCGAGCTTGGCCCCACCCTGCCGTGACCCCCATCCTCAGAGACCACCGGGCCCCCAAAGCCTTCGGGCCGCTCCTTTGCCTGCAAGGCTGCCCTGTGTTGGGGGGACAGTCTCTTAGTCCCCCTGCACCCCAGGCCTACAGCCCTTTGTGACTGCCAGTGTCAGGGAGCAGGGCGCTCCAGACCTGCAAGCAGACAGAGCCCCAGCCCGGCAGCAGCACACACACAGCTTTGTGTAGGCCCAAGAGACCGAGGCGCTGGTTTCGGGGCCCTCCCTGCGGTGGGCTGTCCTGGGACAGGGGGAGCACGCTGCTACATCCTTCTCCCCTGCCCCCCCACCAAGACAGAGGACTAAGAGGCTTCCCTCTTCGATCCCATCCCCCCACCTCCCGCCTGGAGCTGTTGCCCTGGGCACCCTGTCTGGCACTGAGCTTCCCCGTCTTTGGGCCCACGGCCCCTGGCCCGCACAGTCAGCCCCTGCAGGCAGTTTCCAGCTTCCCACCGCTGTCAGTGCCCCTGGGCCCACTGTCCCTGCTGGCACTAGAGCAGTCCCACGGGCAACCCCAGTCCTGGACTGCCAGGGCCCGAGGATTCACACAGGCACAGCTCCTGCATCCAGACAGACAGGTGCACCCTGGGGTGTCAGAGCTCTTCCCAGGGGATCCTGCTGTCAGCTGGAGCTGAGAACCATGGGTCAGGTGGCTTGTGCCCACCCCACCCCAACCCCGCCCCAGGGCCAGCCAGGGCCAGCAGGAGAAGCAGGGAAGCAAGGACACAAAAGCGCTGGCCCAGGCCCGGGGCCTGGATCCCAGTCCCCAGGCTGCCGTTGGTTTGCTGTCTGCTGCAGGCCGGTCACCTGGCCTCCCTGTCTGCATCTGTGCGGGGCTGCTCCCCGCCTTCGTAACCCAGCTGCCTTTAGGCAGAGGGAGCGAGGAGGCAGGTCGGAGTCAGGGCGACTCCAGCTGCTAGGGTTTTGATTCCCTGAAAGCCAGGATGTTCTGACTGCCAGCCCGCGTGGCAAGGGTGCTGCAGCGTGGTGTTGGGCGGGAGGTACAGGGACTTCAAAATCTTCCCAGATTTCTCTGGGATTTGGCAGAAGAAAGGGTCAGGTGGAGACATGGAGGAACCCTGGAGGGGGGAGCCCATCCCCAACCCTGTTCCCAGCCATCATGTCTCTTGTAGCCTCACCCCAAGCACCTGAGGCCCCTGCTGCACCAAGCTGGTCCCTGGGATGGGAGTGGGGAAGGGCTGACCCTTAGGTGGAAGCTCAGGCTGGCCGGGCAGGGGCAGGGAACGTCCTGGGTTCCCGCATCTCCTGCAGCCGTTCCCTTTGCCAGGTGAGGGAAGAGGGGGTTGAGAGCGTTGGGGGTGACGTAACGGCACCCGGGAAGTGGTGAACTGAGCCCAGATATTAATAGTGATGAATGATGTCAGCAGATGCAGCCTTGAGCGTTCCCCACATGTGGGACACTTGTGGACATGTTCAGCAGGGGTTCTTGACTTTGACCCGTATGATCCATGCTTGAGGTCAGGCCTGCCGTCTGCAGCGTGTGGATGAGAGCAAGGAGGCCTGCGGAGACGGGCGTTGCACAGGAGTGCACAGCAGGTCTGGGGCAGTGCTGAGGGGAGGCCACGCCAGTCCAGGCTCCGGCATTGGAAGGGCACCCACAGGCTGTTTGGGTCCCTCCCTCCCCACAGCCTTGCCCCCTTGAGACGCTCCTCTCAGCCCCTCCGCCCCACGCCCAGGGTGCATCCAGCATTCCCTTGTTCCTGTGCTGCGGCTCTCTGGGTCATACGACGGGTCTTCAAAAGTTCATGGAAAATGCAGATAAAGAACCGTGCAAGGATCTCAAACATTTTTGCACCAAAGTAAACTTATCTTTCTTTTCTAAAAAAGATTTTACTTTTACTTGAATGCCAGAGTTACAGGTGGAGAGGGAGAGAAGTGAGAGAGCTTCCATCTGCTGGTTCACTCCCTAAGTGGTCACAACAGTCAGAGCTGGGCCAGGCTGAAGCTAGGAGCCTAGAACCACAGCTGGGTCTCCCACATGGGTGCAGGGGCCCAGGCACTTGGGCCATCTTCCACTGCTTTCCCACGTGCATTAGCAGGGAGCTGGATTTAAAATAAAGCAGCTGGCACCCATATGGGATGCCAGCATTGCAGGCAGCAGCTTAACTGGCTATGCCACAACACTGGCCCTGTAAATTTATCTTTTAAAAAACAGGTATTTAGGGGCCAGCAGTGTGGTGTAGTGGGTTAAGCTGCTTCCTGCAGTGCCAGCATCCCATATAGGTGCCAGTTTGAGACCCGGTTGCTCCACTTCCTATCCAGCTCTCTGCTATGGCCTGGGAAAGCAGAAGATGGCGCAAGTCCTTGGGTCCCTGCACCCATGTGGGAGACATGGAAGAAGCTCCTGGCTCCTGGCTTCGAATTGGCTCAGCTCCAGCCATTGCAGCCACTGAGGAGTGAACCAGCGGATGGAAGAACTCTCTCTCTCTCTCTGTGCTTCTGCTTCTCTGTAACTCTGCCTTTCAAATAAATAAATCTTCAAAAAATAGGTGTTTATTTATTTTAAAGATTTATTTATTTATTTGTAAGTCAGAGTTACACAGAGAGAAGGAGAGGTAGAGAGAGAGAGAGAGAGGGAGAGAGGTCTTCCATCTGATGGTTCACTCCCCAATTGGCCACATCAGCTTGAGCCTCACTGATCCAAAGCCAGGAGCCAGGAGCTTCTTCCAGGTCTCCCACATGGGTGCAGGGACCCAAGGACTTGGGCCATCTTCCACTGCTTTCCCAGGCCATAGCAGAGAGCTGGATTGGAAGTGGAGCAGCTGGGTCTTGAACTGGCGCCCATAGGGGATGCCGGTGCTTCAGGCCAGGGCGTTAACCTGCTGTGCCACAGTGCTGGCCCCCAAAATAGGTATTTATTTCAGAGGCAGAAAAAGAGAAACAGAGATTAAATCGATATCTTCCATTTGCTGGCTCCCTCCCCTAATGACTTCTCGGCTTGGGCTATAGGAAGTGCGGAGGTGATACCAGTGCCGCTATACTGACCTGGGGGGCTTCCGGGGGCTTCCAGAGACAAGAACTACTTGAACAGAGCTTGCCTGGGGCCCTTGCACCCTAGAGGGGCCTCCCCCTCCCCTAGACCCTCCCTTTCCCCAAAGAAATCCTCAGGCTTCCAGCTGAATGGGCAGGGAAGCAGGCCTGGGGAAAGAAACCGCACATTTCTCCACGTGTTTCCAATAAGCCTTCAGCGGAAGCCCAAGTCCCGCCGCTTCCAGTCCTGCTGCTTCCCGGATGCTTCCTCTCCCTCCTCTCTGGCACCCCTTGTGCTCACCCCTCATGCTCGCAGCCTGCGGAGACACCCTCCCAGCCCCAGTGCGTGCCATTGCCGGTGGGGGTAGGGGCAGCGGTCAGTGCTGGGGCAGGGGGAGCCCCGGCCCAGGGCCTGTTCCGCCCTCACGGTGCTTTCTCTCCGTGTAGGATGCTCCAGAACAACCAGCTGCGAGGAGTCCCTGCAGAGGCGCTGAGGGAGCTGCCAAGCCTGCAGTCCTTGTGAGTCCCGGGAGGGCCCCTCTGGGCAGTCGCTAGCTCCCTGGGGCCCAAGTCACAGCCCAGGGCCCCGGCCACACTGCCCTGCTGCCTGCAGGCCCTGTCCACACAGCGGCTGCTCCTGGCTTTTGTTCCTTTGGGGTTTTGCTGTTGCCGCCAGTGTGTGTTCCCGTACCGTGTGTGTGTGTGTGTGTGTGTGTGTGTGTGTGTGTTTTGGGGACGGAGGGCTCCAAACACCCACGAGCACTGTGGGAAAGGGACCTCCCTAGGTGGGGCCACCAGGGCAGTGGTCCCGGGGGGCCTGGCATTCTGCCACGGGGGCCCAAGCAGGGGAGGCAGCTGAGACTGCCACCCCACAGAAACATCAAGAAGGGGTTATCTCCCCCACCCATTTCCGCTGCGTGAGGGAGGGACTGCAACCTGGGGCTCACAGGCCACCCCTCACAGATCCACCTCCATGGAGTCTGTAGTTCCTTCCTTCCTAGGGGCAGAGACAGGAACGCGTATTCTAGGGAGCTGTCACCCACCCACTGGCATCCGTGGGGCCTGGGGCTGGGTTTTATTCACGTGAAACACAGCGGGTGTTTAATACACGTTTGTTGAAAGCAACAGAAGTGTCAGGCACACCCACCTATTGAATGGTCGACAGTGAGTAGCTGTTTTGGCAGAAATCAAAATTGAGGGACAGACCAGGGCACAGCGTTTAGCCAGGGGGTGAGAAGGAGGCATGGTTGGCCTGAACTGTGTCAGAACCAAGGCCTGGTGATGCAAAAGTCACACAACTCTCATCTGTCGTGAGCGTCCTTGGGTGGAAGGAAGCAGGGGCCGGTAGAGGCAGCTGCCTCCCAGGGCTGGCCTCGGCCCCTGCCACCGTCCACAGCGGGGGCCTGAGCCTCGCCCTCCCAAGGTTGGGTCTTTTGCTCTCTCCCGCAGAGCCCTCCTGCTTCCAGGTCAGTACCCCAGGGCCCGCCATCCAGCTGCCCAGCGGCCCCAGCGGCAGAACCTGCCTCCTCTCATTCTTTTTCCTGCTCTCGCCTCTCCATCCAGCCTCACTGCTGGCCAGGGCCTTGTAAGAGGTCAAGGTCAGAAGATCAAAGGCTGAGAGAGCCCACGCTTGCTTTCCACCCGCAGGGCAGCCTAAACATTTGCTTAGGGCACTGACAGAACAGGAGCAGCCAAAAATAGAGGGAGGGCGAGAATCTGACATTTCGTCAAAGCGGACTTCCTAGGGAAACCAGCATTGGGCTTTCACTGAACTTGTGTGCACTTACTTTGAGCTTGTTATTTTCTCAAGTTATGAATCACATCTTCTGCTTAGGGTTTCTAAAGGCCGTGCTTTGCAGCTAGGCACGGCGTTCGGGGCTGCCCAGGCTGGTTCCCCTACGCCTTCTGGAAAGTGGACGGGGGCCTGAAGATGGAGATCGTTGGCCCCTTACTTCCTGGCGGATCAAGGCCGGAGACAGAGGTGCCGTCCCCAGTCCCTCGGTGTGGAGGTAGATGATCGGATTTTGCCTCTTGCAATCCCACGAGAAGGACACTGGCCTACAAGACAGGAAACGTGGCTTCGCGCCCTGGTTCTGATGCTGGCCACGTGCTGCTCACCCTTTCTGCTTCAGCCTTGTTTTCCCTGCCTACCCCGTGGGGCTGCTGTGAAAATCATATCCAGAGAGTATGAAAGGGACCAGCCTGGGATAGGCGCCCTGTGCCTGTGATGTGTGGAGATGCCACTGGGCACTGTTCCTCTCCAACCAGTCGTCAGCTCAGCAATTCATTCAGTCACAAGTCCTCTTGAGATTTTATTTATTTATTTGAAAAGCCAAGTTACAGAGAGCTAGAGGCAGAAGTGGAGGTAGAGAGAGAGAGATCTTCCATCTGTTGGTTCACTCCCCAAATGGCCGCAATGGCTGGAGCTGGGCCAATCCGAAGCCAGGAGCCAGGAGCTTCTTCCAGGTCTCCCACGTGGGCGCAGGGACCCAAGGACTTGGGCCATCTTCCACTGCCTTCCCAGGCCGTAGCAGAGAGCTGGATAGGAAGAGGAGCACCCGGGAATTGAACCAGCACCCATATGGGAGCCGGCACTGGGCACTGCAGGTGGCAGCTTTACCTGCTGTGCCACCGCGCAGACCCCAACTCTTGAGATTTTCCTGGGGAGGCAGAACCTGAGCTGAGTCCTGAAGGGTTAGCGTCAACCCAGTGGAAAGGCAGGGAAGGACACTCGGCCAGAAGGAGCAGCACCTGCAGAGGCACAGAGGTGCGAAGGAACCGAGTGGATGCTAGAGAATTTGCGGGGAAGCGAGCTGGGCTGAACTGTGGGCGTGTATGCCTTGGGGCACTGGCAGGAGGGACAGTCATAGAGGAAGATGTGGAGTTAGCAAGTGGCAATGCCTGGCAAGTAGGCGTGGGCTTTGCTGAGGAGTTGGACTTTGTGCCTGAGGCAGTGGGGAGAGCTTTTAGCAGGAGAGCAGCATGACAGGGTGTGTGTATTGGTAGGATCACGCCGGTGGCAGTTACAGAAGGCATGATGGTGGCCGGAGGAGAGGCGGGGGCGGCGGCAAGAGCAAGTGTCACGAAGCCGTGTGGTCAGGCTGCACGGCCTTTGCCCGCTGGCTGCAAGGCCCTGGGCAGGCCACTTAACCTCAGTGTTTCTGTTCCTTCAGTAGTAAAATGGCAGCGGTGAGATGGTGCCTATGTACCCCCTTAGGGTGGAGTGAAATGAGGCAATAAATGTAGACTTAAAACACTACCTTAATTATTGGTAGTGGTGGTAACAGGGGTGGGAGTTGGGGGAGGGAGGTACCGGTGACACCCAGTACTTTGGCTGTGACACGGGGGACAGGGGTGGGAGTCGGGGGAGGGAGGTGCCGGTGACACCCAGCATTCTGGCTGAGACGTGGAGGTGGACAGGGAAGCCAGGCCCAAGAGCCTGGAACCTGGTAGAACTCACTGAGAAACAGCTGAGTGAGGCGTCCCAGAGGGTGAGTGCTTCGGGGGTGCAGAGAAAGGCATTGCCGGGGCTCCCTTGCACTGGTTGAGTTTGAGCTGCCACAGGTGAGGGCAGTACAGTGGACATCAGCAGGTATGGCCTGACGTTGTGGGAGCTGGGGGATTCAGAGAGAGACCCCTCCAGCCCCATTCAGGTGTCTCCGTCTCAGATGGCTAGAGTCAAGCCCAGGTTGTGGTAGGCAGAGGGAGGGGGCGACAAAGCTCCATGGTGTTGGCACCCGTTCTCCCACTTCTCCCCCAAAGAGCCCCTCTTTGATAACGGCCTCGCTGTCATCAGAAGAGGAAACAGAGGCAGAGAGGCCCAGAGAGCTTCAGGAAGCCACCTCGTGTGGCTGTCATGGGTGGACCTGCCTGCTCCCCGGGAGTTCCAGTGAATGGGAGTGTCCTCCTTCCTGTCCCTATGATGGACCAGAGAGGCTTCCGGGGGCCTGCCCAGCCCCTCCTGGGGTGCTCCGCCCTTGCTGGAATAGGCTGGGGCCTCCAGGGGCTCAGGTCCCCGAGAAGACTGGACCCCTCCAAAAGGGAGCGTCCCCACACTGACTGCTGTGGACATTCCTGGTGCCTCCTGGCACCTCTGTCCTGTGTCTGCCTTCTCCCAGCTGGAGCCAGACACTGATGCCATAGGAGTGAGGCTGGGGGCACCAGCAGCAGTTCTCAGGGTGGGGGTGGGGTGCAGCCTGCACTGCGTTCCAGGCCCAGGCACTGAGTGGGCCATGGCACACATGCTGTTTAGCTTGGCCCCAGGGCCAGCAGCACCCAGCTCTAGGAAGCCCCCTCCCTGGATGCCCTTGCTGCCCCCCAGACCAGTGTATGTGCGGGGGTGGGGTGGCCATGCCAGCCGGATTGCACCAGGCTGAGCCCAGGCCAAGAGAAACTGAGGGGAGCCAGCGGAGCCTGGGGCTGAAAATAGACTGAGAGGTGAGTGGACCCAGGGCGGTGTCAGGAGGCACATGGAAAAGCAGAACAGCACCCCGGAAGGAGCAGGACCAGGCTGGCTGGTCCCAGGAGAGCGGGAAAGGCACCGTGGCAGGAATGAAGGGGAGAAAACAGGACTGCAGCCCGATCCTGGACACCCTGGGCAGGACCGCACAGTTACAGGGGCTGGCCCCGCGAAACCCGCCAGACGTGTGTCGTGCTGGGGGCCTAATCGGCATTTCAGCCTCCAGCAGAAACCCAGGTTAGCGCTGCTGCAAGCCTCCTGGCTCAGGCCTACCTTTGCCACGTGGCTGCCTGCCACGGGGGAAGCAAGATGAAGAGGCCTGGTGCAGGGGTGTGGCAGGTGTGCTTGTGGGTGCAGGAAGAGGCCGTCCCAGGAGAGGTGGGAGCGGAGGAGGCCCTCTGCCCAGCACACAATGATATGCAAAGCATGTTCACTTATCTCATTTAATCCTGGGAACTCTGAAGGTGGCTTCCATTATGCCCATTTTACAGATGTGGCAACTAAAGCCCAGACAAGTTACGTGCTGGCCAGAGTCGACACGGCTAGGAGACAGCAGAGCAGGGGTATTGGTTTTGCTGATTCCAAAGTGCCATGCCCCATCAGCTCTTGAGTGCCTCTCTGCAGCTGCAGTCCCGTGGCACCGGGACTTGGGTTCAAGTCCTGGCTCTATCACGGATTAACTGTGAGGCCATGGGCAAGTCATCAGCCCTCCTTGAGGCTAAGGTTCCCCATCTGTGAAATGGGAGGGTCACGTGGGATGACAGAGGGGTGGGTGTCATGGTGAAGCAGGGTAAACTGCTGCTTGAAATGCCTGTGTCTGTATTGGATGACGTGCCTGCTCCAGGCCTGGCTCCTCCTCTTCCGATTCAGCTCCCTGCTAACACACCTGGGAGGCAGCAGGTCATGGCCCAAGTTCTTGGGTTCCCGCCATCCATGCGGGAGACCTGATGGAGCTCCTGGCTCCTGGCTTCCACCTGGCCCAGCCCTAGTTGTTGTGGCCATTTGGTAGTGAACCAGCAGATGGAAGATCTCTCTTACTCTATCACTCTGTCTTTAAAAC